AATCCCACTGAGGGAGTGGTTTGGGGGCCGCAAAGTTCTCCTTTGAAGCTGTAGTACGGACTTCTCCATTTCTTGGCAAGAACTGAAGGCCTGGAAATGATGGGAGATACAGGAAAAAGTAGACCTATACAGAATATTACAAAGTAAGATGTGCATTCCCTTCCTTATCAGAACTAGCAAAGCAACTTAGAGCAAATGTAGTTTACTGTTTAGTCCTTCAGCCTTTAAGTCTTCATTCTTTCATTTAAGAAATATTTGTGGAATACCTATTTGGGCTGGGGATAGAGTGGTTAGCATAAAAGACATTTCCCTACTTTGATGAAGTTTAGAATCTAGTGGAGAGAAGTAGGAATTAAATAATTTTCACAAATACATATGCAAGTCACACTCTAATATTTTAAAATCTCAAGTAACTTTGCTTAAATTGGGGGTAAATGTGGTCGTATGGGAATTCAGCTCAAACTTGAAGGTGAGCAGGTAAGAAGTGAGAGGTAAAATATTTCAAGCTTATTGTGCTTTGCCTTAATCTTTTTCTAAATACTAAATTTCAAATATAATGGGTACTTTTCAAATTACCATAAAGATGACAAAATGAGGAATCATTTAAAAAATGAAAATAAAAAAAACAAAATAAAAGTCTTTCATGTCATCCTCCATTACACTTGCAACAGTAGTTTCAAAGGTCATGACATTTGTGTACAATTTGCACTTTGATCTTTTTACTATTATTTTTTTGGAATGCTAAAGGGCAAGTCTTCTTATTAAATTCTTAGATCTTACTTTTGAGGAATTCCTTGGAAAACCAAAGGTGAAATAAACGGAGACTATTTTCCTCGATTGCCAAAAACCTTGGCATTTTGAATGTTGTCAGCTTTTCCTGAAAGATTATCAGGCTAAGATTTTTCTAGAACTGACTTTTGGTCTCCCAGGACTATCATTTATTCTATCTTTGAGAAACATCTTCGATGCAGGATCATTTGTCTTCAATAGCTTTCAGATCTTGACATGTTTTAATTGTGGTTCATCAACCTTCTATTGATTGTTTTATGGCCTGAAGCTGAACTCCTCTTTCAACCTTGCAGAGAAAACATCACGGGAATTCAGCACAGAATGGTAATGCTTGTCTTGTGGATTATCATAATACAAATTTGTCTTCCTTTGCATTATTCCCACTTCTAAATTTTGCACTTGAATGACTTGTATACAGTCATTTTAGCAGACAGTTATATGCACACATGTTGTATTTATGAATATATGAATGTCTAAGCATCCAGACAAAATACAAAAACTGCAGTCAATTATTCAAATGCTTTGTCTGCATGAGGCCAAACATGTAGAAGTTCGCCTTTACCTGCTTACTACCCCATGCTTGAAACTGTGAGAAGACATCAAAACCAAACTTAGTATCTAGGGAGACCAGATCTTACAGCTCCAATCCCAACAACGTTGTGCTAAGCCCTCTGTTATGGGTTGAACTGTATTCTATCAAGATTCATATGTTGAAGTCCCAACCCCAGTACTCCAGAATATGACCTTATTTGGAAAAAGGGTCATTGTAGATGTAATTAGTTAAAATGAGGTCATGCTGGAGTAGGCTCTTATTCTATCTTTGAGAAACATCTTCAATGAAGGATCATTTGTCTTCAGTAGCTTTTAAATCTTGACATGTAGGCTGGGCTCCTAATCTGACTGCTGTCCTTATAAAATGGGGAGATTTGGACACTGACTCACATGTACAAGGAGAAGGCCGTGTGAAGATGAAGGCAGAGATAGGGTAATGCTTTTACAGGATGAGGAATGCCAAAGATTGTTAGTATACCACCAGAAGCGAGGCACCAAGTATGAAACAGCTCCTTCCTCACTGTCTTCAGAAGGAACCAAACTGGCAGACACCTTGATCTCAGCCTCTAGACCAGTGAGATAATACATTTCTGTCATTTCAACCCCCCAGTTTGTGGTCTTTTGTTATTGCCATGTTGTAGTGGCCCCCATTTCAGTTGGTCCATCAGGGCTAGTCAAGTCTTCAAGCCCCTTAATTAAGCAAATTTTACCTACATTGTAGCTCCCTGCTGGGAACTTCCAGCTTCCTTCTGTGACTCTCAGTACCTCCTTCCTCCACTTCCCCTTCCTCTTATGGAATATATATTTATTCCCTTCCAGCTTTTCCCACACCTCTCTACCCAACTGCTTCCCTCCCTCATTCTTTACTAGTTTTCTTGGATTATGCCTTGCAAAAGCCCTTTCATCTTCTCTAAGTATTTCTTTGGATTTTTCATTTTAAATAAACACTGATGGGTTTTAATCCTAAGTATTGGCACAAACATACTTTGAAATCCAACAGCATGAAATAATGTTTCGTAGCCAATATCATGTCTTTGATTCTTCCTCTATTCTTTTCTCCCCCTCGTGCCTACTGTTTCTGTCCCTCCCCTTCGTAGTCCTCAAGTCATGGATTCATCACTATTCTGCAGGCCTTTCATGTGCCATTCATGTGACTGTGTCACATGACCCTGTGTATTCACTTTCCTTCTTACCAGGCCAGACTTCTTGGTGTGTATCTTCAGTGGCATCCTAAAATTGTCTGCAGTCTAGATTTTCTGACATGTCTGTAATTAATGATAATCACATTGCCTATTTTTCTATTCCAATTTTGTTGGATAAAGTGACAAAATATTAATAGTACTGTTGGGTCCTATATCCACTCATGGTGTCTAATCTCAGCAGGGCCCTTGCTATTGTCTAGCCATTATGGCATTTTTATTCTGTTCTGTTCTCTTCTCCCCTCAAATATGGCTCAGGTCTTTTCCTTCCTCTTGTCTTCCACTTGGGTGAACTTGAGCATATATGACATAGTGCCTTTAGTGTGTAAAGATGGAGCTCATTGTATTCCTTCCACAAAAAACTCTATTCTTTGTATTCCTCATAAGTATCTATGCAGTCAGCCATTGCAAGCCTTCAAATTTGAACACAGATTTACTTTTCTGGGAATATTTGCAATATATATCTTGTACTATAGTTTAAGTACAATATATGCCATAACCCAAATATGCTTTAAATTTTCCCAACTTCATGCCTCTGTTAATATTTCATGCTTATGAATGCATCTATTTTTCATTCCCTGTCTTGTCTATAAGGGTTGTCAGGAAAACAATCCAGCCATTGTTAATATGACAAGAATAGTTACATGGCTGGATACTTTGTGGACAGCCTTTTTATGTCAAACAATTTTCACCTTTCAAAACCCATCTCAAATGCTGCTACCTCTTCATCAAGCTGGTAGTGATTTTTTTCCCTTTTATGACATAGATTTTAAACATATTATGGCAATTCTTTTATTATTATAAAGTATGCATTCACTTTGCTATGTTAATAGATTCTAAGCTTTTTTACAGCAGGCATGTAATCTTATTAATCTTTCTATCTCATATGTTGCCTGCATATAATAGTTATAAAATAACTAGGGTTAAATAAATGATTTAAAATGGACCATTGAATAATTATAGCCACATAACTAGGCACATGCTTAATTATTCACCCAGATATCTGGAGATATTTAAGCATGGTAATGTCAGCATTGAAATCTCACTTTTTTAGAGATGATAGAATAATCTTTCAAAACAAACCAAAACCAAAACCAAACCAAGAAAGCATACACACAAAAAAATTAAGGAATCTAACATATGAAGGTCAACTTTTTATAACCAGAGTGTTTTAGTTTTCCTTACTGTAAATCATTAATACTTCCTAATTCAAAGAGAAATTTTGAGAATAAATGAGAAAACAGGACTGTTGCTTTTTCAGTATGTAGGTAAGTAAAGGTGTAAAAAGCTGTCAAAAGTATATACCCTTTTGGTGTGTATGTCTATGATACATTTTGTAGATTTACTCTGAACACTGTTTATTGTTTCCCAGAGGATTTTCAGCATAGGCATTCCTTTCCTTTATTCTATCTGCATCAAGATACACTAACATAATTTTGAGAAATGCAAATACAAAACCAGGAGGATAAATTCTTGACTTCTCTGTTCTGTAACCTCAAAAAAGCAACAGTGCATAAAACGCTGTGACTTGGGAACACAAAAAGAGATTCATGCCAAACATTCTGTTCTACTTTTTTTTTTTAAACACAGTCATGGCTGCTGTATCTATGCTTTTGTGTATTACTCATCTTTTCTGAGGTATGCCTTGGAATTGCTAGTGTACCTCTCTCCACTTAATCATAACTCTCCTTATGTTTTTAAATCTCTCTTATTCTTGCTTTAATATGCTCTTATTATATGCTTATTAATATGGTTTAATACTCTCTTATTCTTGCTGCCTGAATTGGAAGAAGGAACTAGAGTGGGCCTACAAAGGAGTTTGTTTGGGTTGTAACACTTAACAGTTTATTTTTGTACAGTCCTGAGTCATATATTGTTGACTTGATAGGCTTTTTATTGTTAAACAAAGAAGCAATGTGCTTTTGAATTGCATAAATCTAAATTTGAATTCCAATTCTACCATTTGTCCCCAGTGACTTGAGCAAAATGCTTCACCTCTCTCAGCCTCAATTTTCTTATCTTTAAAGAGGAAATAATAGCATTTATTTTGTGGTGATGCTGGGAGTTTTAAATAAATTCAGGTATGTAAAGCATATAGCACAGTGCCTGGCACATAGTTGGTGCTTAATAAATGGTGAGTATTATTCTGTTTCTGCTTAGGGAAACATGTGACAATAATTTTCATATAAATGCCACATGTTTCATTGACCATAAATTCTCTTTTTGTAATGCTAAGTATTCATAATTACTAATCAAGGTTAGCTCATGTCACTTGCACCACTTTTCCCTCCAACTCCAACTTACTTTTGGAAGTTGCTTTTTCTGGGAAGATGGAGACGTGCTCCTGAGTTTCATGACCAGTGCAAGTAGAGTGGGGAGGGGACAAACATGCTGTCTCTTCTATGCAATTCTTACATAACTTGCCATATTCCATCGTCTTTTTGTCTTTTATCTCCCCAGGGTGCCTGCTGAGAAAGAAACCATCTTTAGTGCCAAACACAGGAACAAGGTCTGCTGTGAAGTTTAGACAAAGAACAACGTAACTTCTTACACACTAACATCTTGGGTCCACCCAGGATTAGACATCATCATGGACTTAACGCCTTAGGAGAGGAGAGGAAGTACTTAGTATCCTCTTGAGAAAAATCTTTTTAGGTACCCTAATTTGTTTTTCCAGATGTTTGATGCTATATCATTTTGAAGAGATTTCCCTTTTCGTTTGTAAGAAATAAAGTTTATGCAGGACATCTAAACTTTGGCTCACATAAGTGGGGCACTATAGGATTTTACACAGATTAAAAGTCAGAATCTGAGGCTTAAAGTATCAACCTTGCAAAATGTTTTGTGACTACAGATACAGAGGAATTGAGAGCAATTTAAAAACTTGGGGGGATAATGGTTATAATTTCAAATTTTCCAGGATCAGGGTAAATCAAAATAAAAACACCTTTATTCTCTTCAGGGCCTTCTGGTAACACCTGCTGCACCTCCCATTCCAAACACGTCTCAAATGGGGATGATTTTGTAACAGAATTTCAAAAGCCTAGCTTCTGGATAAAATTTTCTATCACATTTTATAGGAAGATGACGTGGCTACCAAACTTCATCACATCATAAGAAGAAGGTGACAAGCAAGGTTGGGTTTCATGCCTTTACCAGGCACTGGATAAATACCAAAAAATATATCAAATTTATCAGATCATATGGTTATCATAAATAATGCATCTTTTTAAAAACCACTTTATTTGATCCTACGTAGAATTAGTAATTTTAAAAACAAATACTATCCATATATATTCTTATATATGCATAGAAAATATTTGGAAGTATAGCCAAGAAACTGTTAAGAATGGTTTCCATTGGGGTTTGGTTGAGAAAGGAAATTTTAAAAATTTTCATTTTAAACGATTGTATTGTTTGAATTTTTACTGTGTCCTTGTATATATTATACACATACAGATACATACTAGTTTATGGAAATTTTATATATATATATATACATATATATATATATATATATAGTCTGTAATGTAAATAAATGCAAGGCAAACATGATCTGCATTATGCTTTCCTGTTCTTTGAAGTCTTCAATTACCCCAAACTGTGGGATATTTCAGACCATATAATGCTTTGGATTCATCTGTCACTCTGGTTTCTTTCTCACTCTTTCCCCTTTGAGGTTTACTCACTTTTGATTTAAAAAATCCTTTTGTCCCCTCCTAAGGCAGAACAGTTTATCTCTCTCTCTCTTTTTGAAAAACATGTTAGGTAGGATTGGTCTAGCCTAAAACCTCGTGTTCTCTAAGTAACTTATGAAGGTATTTTCTTAAACAATAGGTAAGTACCACTTCTATGATAATACAAACATATTTTTTTACATAGAAAGGTTATGAATAGTTTTGTGGAGAGTGAGGTACAGGAGAGGCTTCTGAAACATCAGATAGTTTGTTGCAGCTGTGGTGATAGGTGATACTAGGCTGGCGTCCAGGTTTGCTGGTGTTGACTAGAGTAAGAGAGACTTGTCTTAGAAGAGCTGCCCAGAATCTGGGCAGAATATTAAATCAGGAACTCTAGCCCAAAGGGTAAGGCATACAACCAGATTTCAAATGGGTAGAATTAGTCTTTAGAAATGTCAGAAACTCAGTTACTGACACAAATTTGTCATCAGGATAAAAAAAAAAGAAAATGTGATCATAATAAAGAAGTAGGCTCTACATTCCCAGTCTGGGGTGCAAATTGAAATCATGTGGGGAGCTTCACAACTGTGATTCCAGATTCCCACCCTAGCTTTGGATTTGATTGGTCTGGGGTGTGAGCTGGGCCTTGGGCTTACCTAGGAGTTTCTAAAATGCAGCTGACATTGAGAACCACTGTACTGGGTTGTATTAATGCCAAATCACCCAGTAAGATTACCATGAGAAGCTGAGGCTACAGATGAGTGTGCAGTGGGCTCAGCAGTGGGGAACAAAGAGCCGTAGATGGGGAGGTGAAGGGCAGGGAGCCAGACATATCACTGAAAATGGGCTTAAGAGAGTCCAAATGTCTTCAATAGGCTTTGTGCCTCATTAGAGGTGAACTGGAGCTAAGACTAGAACCCGGACCACATGTTTTCCCTCATTTTACCTGAGGCTCTCTGTGCCAGTGCACCATAGCGTTTAGTTTCAACAGCTCAGCTCTCTCCAAATTTCTGTCACCTTCTTATAGTTACTAGCTGTTCATCCTTTCTCCTATTTTGCTGTGATTATTACCCTCACTTAATTGTATAAAGAATTAAGGATTCAAGAATCCCTATGTGACAAAGTGGAGATTAAGCTCAAGCAATTGGTCCGAATGAAGTATGATAACACCTTTTTTGGCTTTGAAATTTCTTACAGTATTAGGAAGGATCAATATAAAAATTGCTATTAAAGTGTCTTGTCCTTGGCTAAGGAATATGACATACCTTTATGGTCTTTCAATATTTATGAATCCTGGAATAATAATGTACATAAATTAGAAAGGGACACAGCAAAGGACCAAAATTTATTTTGGGCCCAATTGTCTAGCTATTCACACTTTTCACCCTCATAAATTTATTATTAAGCATCAAAAGATTTAGTGATTTTATTTTACTTTTACTTCTCAGAAAAATATTATAGAAAAGAGCCAAAATGGGTATTTAATAATGTTTTAATAATGAACAGAAATTTTCATTTTTGTGCTATAATACTTATAGAAAAATCTCATAAGCTCATTAAGTTGATTATATATACTTATGGTACTATTTTTATTGGAATGAATATTCAGTGTTTTCCTATTTCCTTATTGCCTCTTTAATTATGAACTTTTCTGAGGTTGTAGATATAGCCACAGCTGCTTTTTATTTTAAAAAGTTAGGCTGAACGTGATGGCTCAGGCCTATAATCCTAGCACTCTGGGAGGCTGAGGCGAGAGCATTGCTCAAGGTCAGGAGTTCAAAACCAGCCTGAGCAAGAGTGAGACCCTGTCTCTACTTAAAATAGAAAGAAATTAATTGGTCAACTAAAAATATATAGGAAAGATTAGCCGGGCATAATGGCACATGCCTGTAGTCCCAGCTACTCAGGATGCTGAGGCAGAAGGATTGCTTGAGCCCAGGAGTTTGAGGTTGCTGTGAGCTAGGCTGATGCCACGGCACTCACTCTAGCCTGGGCAACAGAGTGAGATTCTGTCTCAAAAAAAAAAAAGTTAATTGCTATTATTTTTAAGAGTTGGTAGTTTACAATTTATATTTGTGTGTATCCAATTGAATAATAATTTCAATTTTTGTTCTTGAAGCTTTATTTATCTATTTTCTAATAGTTATTTAATATGAATTTAGATTGGAAATTATTAGTCATTTTAAAATAAACCCTAAGCACTGGTAGGATTGTCTTATTTTTTCCAAAAATTTAAATTGGTGTTTCTATAACCTGTTTTGAAGTACACAGAGAAAAATTATTTATATGGAATTTGTGGTTTGCTTATTGGAATTAAATGTCGCTAACTAGTTATAGCAAAATCTGCTGATTCCATTCATGCTGAGCCTGTGAACAGAAATTATAAAATTTGTTTTAGATAAGAGTCAGTGAATTTAGTACTCATGAATGATGCCAGGTTGGCAACCTTTGAATGAGGCCAGATGGACATAGGAGATTTTATTTTTTATTTTAATCAACAGAATAGAGAAGCAGGTGCTACAGGACTACTCACAGAGTGCTGGGGGGAATTTGGCTTCCACTTCCATTCTAGCATTATTCTTTGTTTTGAAACATCAAAGGACTAAGGATTGAAGAAAGGGAGTGAATGGTTACAAGTTGGGAATTCTTGTGATATGAATTACTACCATTAACTGCTGCTGTGCTATAGTTAGGCTCACAATCAGGATTCAATACTCAACTACCTACTGTATTAGGACTGTCAGAATCAATTCATTTAGCATCACTGTATCTCAGAACTGAAAGGGATCTGACAATCTCGTATCCCAACACTTTATTTTTTACAGATGAGACAAAAGAAGCCTAGAGAAGGGAGGAGATTTACCCACCATCACATGGTTAATCGGTGACTCTCAACTCTTGATTGAATCTATCACCATTGCCATCACATTATATTGTCAAATTCTTTACAAGGATAAGACTAAAAAAATCATCAGTTAACTTCCTCCCCCACGTTTGAACTTGTAAAATGAACAAACAAAGGAATTTGCTGCCTGTTGGCACTTTGCATCTGGGCAGCTCTAACTAATTGGCGGATCCTCTGCTTGAGTTTCTATGTAGACTTTCTTCTTTGACAATTAGCATATTAGAAAGCAAAAATATTTGCAGCCTTATTTAAATCTTCTAATTAATAGTCATTATTATTTTTAATATAATCTGATTGCATTACAAACATTGGAGAAAACAATTAAGGTAAGCTGAGAGAGAGAAAACCTGTCACAATCAGCCCACTGCTGATCTCTTCTGGATCATTCCATATTGTGGATACTTCCCTGGATCAAAAAAGATCATTCTCCCAGTCTCCTCATCTAGGTTGTATGGTATGTGATTGTGTCCACATAGCCTAAAAGAAATACTCTATATTAAATGATCATAGCAGTAAAAATTCAGTCTCATTGCAACATTGCAGAAAGACCAAGTTACAGGACGTAAAATGAATGGAAAGGGAAATGTGCATAAATGAGGAAATGTGTCTTGGTCTACAGCCAGAACTTTTGCTAAACAAACTTTAAGTGGTTAAGATGATTTTGTATTGCTTTCTTCACATCCCTCCTTTCCTCTTATTATTTCTATCAATAGCCACTCATTTTTGGCTTGATATCTGGCCTGTCTGGTTCTCAGTTCTGTGTTGCTGGAACCATTTGGTCCCCAGGCTCTATCCAGACTGTCTGCACCTCCCTTCCCTTCTCCTTATAGGTCTCTCCCGCTTCCCTACATCTCTCCTCCTAGCCCGACTGGCCCTCCTAGGATCAGTCATGGTCCTGGCTGGCTACAGGAAGAATTCAAGCCCTTCTTTTTTTAACTCAGTACTAGAAAACTTATCCCAACTCATCCTTGTTAATCATATAGCCCTAACCCAAGACTCCTCTTCTAACCAAGAGTAATTTTTCAGAATAGGGGTCACAATACAGAAGATAAGCATCTGGGCTTTGGAGACAGGCAGACCTAAAAATCCAACTCCAATTCTTACTACCTCTTTGACATCAGGCAAAATACTTTCTAAGTCTCAGTGTATGCCTCTTAGAGTAAGAAGATG